CTTTTGATATTGAAATCAATCGTCTACATTAAAATATGGCTTTGTTATTGGTTTATGGCCCAATATATCATGTGTCTTTTACTTACCTCAGAAGATATCCTGACACGGCAGGATTCGCTTTGGATATCAAAACCAATCGCCTACATTGAAATATGGTTTTGTTATTGGTTTGTGACCCAATATACAAAAAGATTTAAAAATAACCGTGAAATGCAAAAAGATAAGGCTTTTCGCGTAATATATGAATATACATTCGTAGACGTTTTATAAGTGAAATGCATTAATGTGAAATAGTTTTACTTCAGAGCAGGTTAAAATAAGAATACTCAGATGCGGTTTAGATTTTGTAAAGAATTAGTCCTTCATTGGATAGAAACAATCTTAATAAAACCCAATAGCAATGAAACTTAAACTTTTACTTTACAAATTATTAAAGCTCATGAGATATGATGACGTCTTCCACTAAGGACGGATCATTTTAACGTCATATTGAATTACAACGAATTTCAACTTTGCAAAAAGTAAGTAGCATATTCTAACAAAGTCATTATTTTTGACACAGTATTACGTATGCATGGTATTTCTGGATAGCTGACAAATTATATAGTCCAGCAGATTATGCCAATATATAAAAAATATTTCAATTAATGATGCAAGCACCAACTTTGGGAATGGCACCATTGAAGTATTCTTCATTTAATTTAATTCGTTAGCCACACGAAATTTTCAAAATGACGGCCATTTTCCAAGATGGCAGCCATGGGGTTGCTATAATTATGTTTTTTGTACTGAATAATTGTTTTTTTTGGCTCTACTGGTTGGAATTTGTTTTGTTTGCATCTTGAATCACGGTAAAACTATACTTACATGCTTTTTAAACTGTTTAGAAACTTGAAATACGGTTTTGTCAAAACAATAGAGTGAATGTCAAAGCACAACCAGGGCACACTGGTGACATCACTGCTGTGAAACTCGGCATGGGGTTCAGTGACATCTCAACTAATTAAGCATAGCTAAGTGACCCAAATGCTACCGTACTAGCCCCTGACACATTATTATAGTATTAAACATAATGTTATATGAAACCTGAAGCCGCGCCTGAATCGACAGGATGTGACAGCGCGGGAGAACCGAGACAAGGGTAACGGGGCATATGTTACCCGGAGGGTGTACATATCGCACGGGACTTAATAATTGTCACTAGATGAACGATCGGACTAGGTGTAGGATAGTATTATAGATCGAACCTAGTTGTATCCCATACTACAAAGCGCTTTTTGACAATTTTAGGTGATAAACCCTCGACCTTAAATTTTGTCGGTTATTTTAATCATGCAGTAGTTTACTAAATTAGTAGGATGAGTACAATTACATCAACACCTTTGGCGTCTACTTTGGTGACTGACTGGAATAGATGTTGTCTCTGTCAAACAGAGAAAGATGAAGAATTGAAATGTCAACCATCTCGCTACGACAGAAACAAGGATGGCGATGGGTATGCTATGATAGCTAGAAATGTCCCTTTCTTTAAAATCATCAATCAAATGTCAATCATTATGGACCCTGCTATATTGGCATAGAGGAAACACGCAGAGAAAACAAAGCAAAACACCATCAAGGTTGCCGGCTTTTGTTTAATATCAGTGAACTTGAGAAACGAGGAGCAGATCTGCCAATTCAAAGGATTTAAACGAGGGTCCAGTACCAGCTAAAAGTAGACGAACAAGCCTTGATAATCGTGTGTGTTTCCTTTGCGAACAAGAGGCACCCCGATCTGAGCTAAGGAATGCCATGACAATGGATCTTGATAAAAGATTAAACGAATGTGCTAGAAACCTGAATGACGGGAAACGATTAGCAATACTAAGTGGTGGTGATATTGTTGCACAAGAACTGGGGTATCACCGCTCTTGCTTGACGACACTTTCTTCGAAAGAATAAGAAGTCAACCCAATAGTGTTTTCTGAGCTTCTTGTATACGTAGACGATTGGCCTGTAGTATTCCGACTTGCAGATCTTGTCGTTCTTTACAACCAACGACTACAACAATTATGAGTAGAAACACCAAATGCTAATTCTACAAGATTAAAGGACAAGTTACTGCAGAAATTCCTGATTTGGGGGCCCATTAGAAGAGATATTCTGTTTGCACTTAAGCAGGATATTGGTGAAGCCCTGTCACAGGCAGTTGACTATTCGGAAGCTCTCATGGTTACCAAAGCAGCTGGAATCTTATGAAGGCATATGCCCAAGCACAAGGCTGCATTCAATGGAATGTTCCATGATAATTGCATAGAAGATGCCGTACCATCTATTCTTCTTCAAATTGTTTGTATGATTGAGCACGGGGCTGACATAAAATCACAATAACGGTTTGGTGCGTCTAAGACTGATTTGGCCATGGCGCAGTTGCTCCAGTACAATTGCTATGCAAAACACAAGGAGGGAGCTAAAACCTTTAGACATTCCAAAGATCGAGAAACCCCATTTCCAGTCTTCATTTCCACATATGCAAAAACAAGGAAAAGGCTCTGGTAAAAATGCTGCACGGACATGGTCTAAGTATTTCTTATGACAGGGTTCTTGACGTGTCTGCTCAATTTGGGAATGCAGCTGTGAATAGATACAAGAACGAGGGTGTTGTGTGTCCATCTGATCTGAGGAAAGACCTTTTTCCTACTGCTGCAATGGACAACATTGACCATAATCCAACTGCAACTACCGCAACAACATCCTTTCATGGCACCAGTATTTCAGTGTTTCAACACCCAACATCATTAAATCAAGGCCAAATACGAGAGAGGAATCTAATTGACAGCAAATCTAAAAAGGTACCAGAGCTACCAAACTCTTATACGAACATACATCCCTCTTTCTTTACACAAAAATAGCCATGTCCTACAACTATCGAAACACCTTTTGTTCTTCCCGCATTGCAATTAATGCCCGAATTTGACTGGTTGCAAAAGGTGAGTGTAACTGAAACAGGTGACGATGAGGAAGTCAATATATCGTGGTCCTCCTATCATGCGTCCATGAAAAGAAGCCCTGCCTTTCAAATAAGCATTACGGCGCTATAACCTTTACTGCGAGAAAAAGCACACTCTGTCGCCACCATTAGACATGTCAAGGATAGAGTGGAAATAGTTTCCCATTTAAATCCTGGTCAGTCGCCAGTCATAGCTGCTGATCAGCCACTCTATGCAACCGCAAACCAAATACAGTGGCACTGGCCAGATCGATGTGGTGAAGATAATTTTGTTATGATGTTTGTTGGATTGCATATTGGGATGGCAGCATTCACGTCCATTGGCACCCTGCTTCAAGAGAGTGGGTGGACTAGTTCTCTTGTAGAGTCAGGAATAGCGTCATCTAGCACAGCATAATCTTTTCTGTCGGCTTTAAGTGTCACAAGAACACGCCAGATGCACCAGATTGCAGCGTGTACTCTGTATAAGCTCCAGATTGAAGTTTATAACCGCAAGACCTCAGAGGTAAATGATAATGATGATCCCAATCCGACTTTTGAAGAACGGATTGCCCGAGGAAGCAGATACCAGGATCTTTGTACATGCCAAACATGCTGTTGCAGAGGGATTTCGATCTATAATGATAAAGGCAAATGACACAGATATTCTTGTTATAAGTGTCAGTGTGTTGTCATCTTTTCAAAAGTAAGGCCTACAGACACTTTGGATTGATTTTGGTCAAGACAAAAATCAAAGATGGATTCCTATCCTTGATATCAATAGCCCGATTGGCTATGGTAAATCTGAGGGAACATCACTTTTTCATGCCTTTACCGGTTGTGATATTGTATCAGATTCTCGGGGTAAAGGGAAGAAGACTGCATGGCAAACTTGGAATGTGTGTCCTGAAGTTACGTCCGTCTTTGCAAAACTCAGTAAGTATCCCCCTGTAGTTAGTGAATCAAATCAAGATATTTTGGAAATGTATGTCATTGCTATGTATGACAAATCAAGCCCTACTGCAAATATCAACAATGCAAGACTTGATCTCTTCGCTCGAAAGAAAAGATCCTATGAGTCAATCCCTCCAACACATGGAGCTCTAATCGAGCATACTAGGCGAGCTGATTACCAAGCAGGTTGCATCTGGGGTCAGTCTATCATATCCAACATGGAAACTGAATGTCCTGGGGAATGGGGCTGGAATAAAAAGGGGGATATTTGACAAATCGTGTGGACAAAACTTGCTTCAATTGCCCAGAGTTGTCAACAACTGACAAAATGTGGATGCAAGACGGAATGTTGTGGTCGACGCAAATGTTTCAGATTAAGTCTACCTTGCACGGCATTGTGTGGTTGTAACTGTGAAACATAGATATACAGCTGTGTTGCAGTTATGACATTTAGATACCATGTTAAAATTAGATTAGTGACAGGAGCTCACAATTTAAAATGAGGGGAAAAAACGTGTAAATATTTTTGTTTATTTTTTTCGCTTTATTTGTAGATATTATGATTTTAATTTTGCAAAAGGAAGGCTTAATAAAACCTTATGTGGTCTTTTCTTTTTGTTTTATTGTTAAATGTCATGAGATAGCTTTTAAAACTATTTTGAGATGAATCAGTACGGTTAGTTTCATTTCTTTACCAAAAAAGGTAAGGAGATTTTATCAAAAAAATCCATTATGGCGTCCATCTTGGAAAAAGTGGCCGCCATTTTGGAATTTCAAATGGCTAACGTGCTTTTTGAGTTAAGTAGTGTTTAAAGAGTGTATGTACCAAATCCTATGCTTGCATTATTTTTTTTTATTTTTTTTTTACTATTCGGCTCAACTAATAAGGAATTATAAGGCGACCGTAGTCCTACATACATTTAAAAACGTAGAAAACAGACTCATCATGATATTCATTGATTTACCGCCAAAAGAATAGACGTATACTGTTTTTCTAGCATTTTATTATCGCACATGCATCATCGTCAGGAAAAACGGATCAGATAGCACCTTATAAATACGAAATCCCATTGTGTTCATTTAGTATCGGTGTCACAGACGGACTCTTTAACGGTGAGTACTATCATTGAGATTTACGAAGTAAATGCTAACATACTTTAGCTGAATTGAGAACTATATATTACATTTCAATAATAATGGTCATTCATATTTTGGTATAAAGTAGAACATGTATATTAAAAAAACCAATGAGTAATACGTAGCTATGCACCGACATATTGTACAAAGTTTTAAACATCTTTATTTTGTTGATTTCCGAGAGAGAAACATGTTACTGTTTCAATGATTTTCTGCAGAATGAATATAATGCTAATATGCAGCAAAAGAGCAAAACCTAGAAGTGTAAATTGGAGATACGATAGCTATCACGCTCCACAGATTGTATACAGCATTATATGTGCGGTTTATATATTTTGTTTACGTATTTCACTTTTCCAAAAGTGCTTATTATTTACTTTATCGTTTTGACAATAGTAAGATATTATGTTTATGTATATATCTTTTTCCTATTTGTGATTATTATTTTCTTTACTGATTTTGATTTTAAATCCAGTACGGATAGCTTGACAATAGTGATGGTTCTATGTTTGTTCTACATTAAAATCCTACTCTGATTTGCTGACGCTGATTAATACATTTCTACTTTGTTGTATAGAAGGAGAATGATGCTGAGAGTGGTAGTTGTGTTGTTAGCCATAACCTTGGCTTTCGTCACAGTTCACGCAACCTGGAACTATGATACACACGGCCCGATTCATTCAGGCGGCACTTTGAGTAAGTAGATACGTTTTCAACAGAAACAAAAATCGTCAAATATTGTTTTCTTTTGTACATCGAAGTACCAGGTCTCCACGACATTTTAGTGATGTTCGTGATTTGATGTTAACCAGTTCCCCTCTTAATTTTGTTTACATATCAAAGAGATTTACACATATCAAATTCTCTTTAATCAGTACTTTAGACCAATTTGAATGTGCACCTATTTGGCCACTAGTACCACAGGTGATTCTCAGAAGGATTAAACAGCTCTATGGTGCAATGTAGTTCGTTTTTGGCATACCCTTTTAGAACAAATGTTATTGGACATTGGTCAAACTGTAAGACATTAATGCTCAAATATGTTTCGAAGATGACTTGGGTAAAGCCGCATTAAATCACGGGCATTGTGACGTAACGATTACGATCTGTTGCCTAACACAGAGGTGTGGTACATACGTCACATCACAGAATCGTCCCCATCTATTTATGTATTTCTTCATGCGTTTCGCATTATTTTAATGTGGACTGCGTCTGTTATGTACGACGTACTACTACGATGTTATGGAAAAGTAAGTTGTTTCTACTTTCGCATTATGATACCAGACCACCAACACGAATACAAAAAAAGGTCAACATTTGACTAAGGGGTAAAGGTTATAACAAAACCTTCAACAGTACATGATCCTACATACTGAAAGTTTGGCAATTACACAGTCCAGTGTGTTGCTGTATGCCAAGATACCGCCTAAATCACGATTGACATGTTGACGGGAAGAGGTTGGGAATGCTTCACTACCAACGTTTCAGACAGTACATCACATATCATGTCAGAGGGGATAAGAAAGAAACACATAAAACATATTATCTGTGTACTGTTATATTATAGCTTTGAAATAAAAAAAAATATTACTGAATCCTATGTAATCAATACAGATCATTGGCCCGGAAGGCACTACTACCGTCGTGGATATTACGGACACAGAATACGTCTTCATTACAGAAATCGGTATAGGAGAAGGAGGTTCCCACGTGGTGGATAATCACACAGCACACTCTCCGGGTAAGTTCCTCTCTGCGTCATAAAGAATCAAAACATGAATCCATATCATATCCCTTTTGTAAATAGTAGTAATAATATATCACATTTGTAAAGTGCCTTTTATTATTTGCAAGGCGCATTATCAGATATACGGTACTGAGCACATCACAGTCATGTTGTAATGTGTTCATTAGGCAATAACCGCACAACAGACATATGCTACAGACCACACCATGGCATGTACTACTGAACACGCATTAGACATAAGTAGCTAATATACAACAAACATACTGTAAGAACACAGAGTGGGCATAATTACAGTTGTTTGTAATACAACATAAACATAGTACTGAACATACAACATACACACTGTACTGAGGTTACAACAGACATACGTTAATGAGCATACGCCATATAAGAGATAGTGAGCATATAACAGACAAACGGTACTGAGCACATTTGGCAATTATCTTACACGTCTAACTTATCACTTAACTAGTATATCTACTCTTTTGATTGTAACGTCACATATCCATTTTAATTATCATTCAAGAAGATCCTTCTGTATACCATTAAACAAAGCCCTCCTTAATGTCACCTATTAGGTTTTTTATACTACACTAATCATTTATTAATATTTCAAGTTGTAATCTTACAGTCTTCGTCAAGTAAGGAAATCAAATGGCTTGCATTTCATAATCTGTTTTTTTTCTATTTCCTCCTTTGGTTTAAAACTAAAACAGTTGTGATATCGCACAACGTATCAAAATAACCGCACGAAGTGTGCGCTACAGATTAATCAATCAGTCGCCTCGTTGTGCGATAAAACGTGCACGTATGTGTGATATGGTAAGATCGGTTGTTTGATGTTACGGAATGAAAAAAACCCAAAAAGATCGAGAGAAATAAGATACATCGTATACGTATTAAACACAACAGATATTCGGTAAGAAATATTTAGTAATGTGAAGACAGCAAGCATATAGTAATGCGAAGACAGCAAACATATAGTAATGTGAAGACAGCAAGCATATAGTAATGTGCACACAGCAATGATATGGTAATGAGCACACAACAGAGAAGTAGTAATGTGCACACAGCCGACATACGTTAACACGTTATCTTCAATATACTTCTGGGATTACACAAATTGTCAACGCACTGGAGCTAACACAAGTAGTCCATATTTACTGTGAGTTTTGCGACTTAATGTCGATTAACTAGTACAGAATGCTACTGAACATTGAGGGTTTTATTCATACTCACTTTGTGTTATATTTTCAGATCCTGTTTCTTACAAAATATTTGGATAACCAACCACTGACAGGTTCTGTAAAGATTAGGAAAGTCATCGAAGAACATTGTTCTTTTTTGTGTTTTATATAAATAAAAACACAGTCAACTGCTATTTAGTTTTCTTTCTTTGTCTGGCCTTCAAACCCAATTTGTTTAAAAAAAATATGAGACATTACTAACTCTTTTAATTGAAATTAAAATAGAATAGAAATTATCTAAACTTTATTTTTTAACATGCATTTCTCCGCGAATCCAATAAATAATCAAAAGTGTGATGAAAAAATATCAGGGATAACATGCCAAATAAGTTACAATTGTATACATTAACGCCGTTATTGTACATTGTACCAAGACATTGAGCGTCACCAGGGGTAATGCAGGAAGAAGTACGTTAACGGCTTATTTCAGACGTGGCATTAGGATTCACAGGCAAAAAAAGTTTAAATTATCATACCTAAAAACGTCTTAAGAATCAATGTATCAACATAGTATCGCTGTACGTAATAATTCAACAATTTACACGCCAATGGCAAAGGTTAGGGAACACGTTTGAGTTTGAAATTATCCCGCCGATTTACGACCGTATAAAAAAAACCCACATAAATCCTTGTAAAGTTTACCGTCTATGCTTTCATTATCAGACGATCGTTCAGGTACTTCAGGAAAATATACATGTATATTGAAACAAATGATACAGAAATTAGAATAAGAAGTTATCTACAACCCTATACTAATTACATATTTGTACCATTAATTACAATGAGGGATGTTTCCAAACGTACATACAGTATGTCATATAAATAGAGACAGGATATTTAATGGTTTCTTGCTATCCCGTTGTTAAAGACGTCCTTCTGTCTGCTTGTAAATATATCACAGGGATTAATCGGTAAGTCAAGATGACGATTTCTACTGTTATTAAGGTAATACAAATTCATAAGGAAAGTTTTTAATCATATTTTTAATACAAATGCTCATGTATTTGTGGAAGTCATTTAAATTGTTCTCTCACAGCATAGTCTAGATACTTATCGAAAATGTATGTTACCCCACTATAGGTAACTAGAGTTTAGACGAATGTTGCCGTACAACATATTAACATATATACACGTATATACAATGAATGGAGAATTAAACCTAGCTTTACATATAACTGTAAAGATTACGAAATATTAATGGAATAGTTAATGGCTACGTCACCGCCAAAGCTTATCGCTGTCTACTTGATAACATATCACTGAGCTTCGCCAATAATTCAAGGCGACGATTGGTGTTTTTATAGAGAAACAAACATTTCATGAGAAAAACTCCGACCTATTTTTGTCACATTTAAAATATCACAAAACGAATACACAAAATACTCATCATCGATTCTTTTTTCTCGTAAATCCTAGAATATCTTTGCTTTGTACAATGTATTAAAAGGTCACGTGTCCTACTCTAAGCTGATCATACATCCTGACAATAGCAGGATTCACTTTAGTTATTAAGCCCCATTAATGAGTTATTCAATATTATTTATATCATATATCTACACACAACTGAGGGTTTTACGTATTTATTTCTAACCCTCTCTGATACGATTTGTGATATTCTTTCTAAATGTTTGCAAATTTACAAGAAAAGCATACAAGTCCTGTATATATTACCTCTGCAGATATATTACATAATGAATGGAAACGAACTATGGTGTACAGGTTACAAGTTCCACACGCATAGGTCAATCGAAGTTAACTAAATGAAATAGGAAAGAGAGTTGTGTACCTTAACCATGGATCAAGGCCAGCTTTCCGGTCCGTTGCTTTGCAGATAGTGTTTAAGGGAAATTCTTGCAAACGTGAAGCTAGAAGGCGACCATCTTTCTTTCTTTCGTTTTAGTCTACATCGTTGTAAGCGTTTTAGCTTTTGAAGATGTCTTGATTGAATTTCGTTTACTATTTCATAATGTTCATCCGGTTACGCATATAGCATACATTGATAAAAAGTCATAATCATATAAGCAATTCAAACCTATCACACTTCCCCCTCCCCCCTCTTGTTATAAATTTAAAATGTGTTCATCCCGAACACCACACATTCCTAGTCATCACAAGGAGGGCCACGAACACCATTTGAAACAGGAAAAAGCGTAGTGTGCTCCGTTGGTGATCAAATAAGCGACCCCAAGCTCCCAAGTCGGTCGCTCCACCAATGGGATTAAAGGGAATATTTCTAGTGCAAAGCTAGAATGCGACCGTCATCCTACATACATCTAATAAACTTTTTAAGAACAATAAAAAAAAGATTCATTATTTTATATTTAATATTTTTTCACTAAAAATGTAGGCGTATATTGTTTTTACTAGCATTTTATTATCACATGCATCATCTGAAGGAAAGACGGATTGATTGATTGATTGATTGATTGATGGATAGGTTTTACGTCCGCTTCACTACCGAGTATTTCGGTTATCCAGCAGACGGAGAACAGAAAGGAAAATGAGTAGAAGGGATGAAGTATGGAGTAAAAGAGTAGAGGAGTGGGATAGGTTAGAGAAGGGGCCTTCTATCCTATATATATTAACTGTATAAGTTTAGTTTTTGTAAGACGGCTCCTAATGCCTAATAATGCCTTAACCTAACACTCATCGTACAGCATCACCAAGTCAGTGCCGGAAGTGAGGTACTGTGCCGCCTCCAGCCACACCAGCCCCTGCCTATTCTATGAATTTGGCTTGTATATAAGATTTGGAAGTCCATCTAAATGTCTTAATAAAGAGACCCTAGTTCTAACGGCCTAAAATTTTGGATAAAGTTTTCACTATCCTCTGTGTCGGCGTTTACGCGCCTACTCTTTTTCGAAAAAACAAGAGGGATTTTGTTCGTGCGAGATTGGACAGTTCTCACACGGGTCTCCATTTATAGTCCCATCCGACGGACTGTATATTAGTGGTAAGTGTCATGCATGTGCTGTTTTTTTGTTGTCCGTTCCATGTACTCCTCTCCTCATTCATCACTGAGAATAAACCTGACTATACTTGTACCAATGACATCTTTCTTATAAACCTCGACTTGCCTTTCATTTATTTCTGCTCATCGTTCGTATGGGTTGGTTTGTTAGTTGTGTGAAGATATTTAGTGGTTGTTGTGTTTACTTTTACGTGTAATTAATCATGTATACACATATATATATATAGTATTTTACTCGATTAGACATAAGATTGCTGTGGGGTGGGAGACTCGTCCATTTCTTAAAAACGGAACATCCCGCACGTGGTCAGAACACATACGTTGCAGCTTTCTTACATCAACCGAAAGTGAAATGTTTTTAGGTTTTGAATAATTAATTAGAGTTTTTTGATTTGAATATTAATTAAGTTTGTTTATTAGTTTGAGTGATTGGATATTGTTGTTATTACACTATTCGCTGTGTCAGATACACAGATATTGATTATTAGTTCATTATTCGATTATCCCGTTATTCCTACCTAACTAATAGGTCCATATAGCACCGTTGGCCTCGAAGCTCCCTCCTTTACCACCGCTAACCTTGTAGGGTTTTACGCCGAATGAGCAAGAGGGCCTATTTTATGGGTCGTATTATACAGTTTATAGTGGTAATACAGTTCTATCCTAATGTATATCCACCGTTTAAGCTTTGTACAGTCGAAAAACGGTTGCACATCGCTCTCCAGCGGTACATATATATTTATTCATGTGTATGTGTACATGTATACACACATATATATATATAATATTATACTCGATTAGACATAAGATTGCTGTGGGGTGGAAGACTCGTCCATTTTTTAAAAACGGAACATCCCGCACGTGGTCAGAACACATACGTTGCAGCTTTCTTACATCAACCGAGTGTGTAATCATAGTTTTTTTGTTGTTATTAACTTTAATGATTTCATTTTTGTGTTTTTTGCTTGTGTTTGCTTTTGATTTTTCCTTAGTATCGGGTGCTGGTCGTTTCATCTTGATTTTGTGCCAGGTGGTGTTTATTTTATAGTACGTTTGATTATTTCTTTCCTTGTGAGGCTTCTATTTGTTTATTTTAGAATCGGGTGCCGGTGGTTTTTTTTATTATTAATTTTTTTAAATGGCTTTGTTGTCCAGGTGGTGGTGTTTTTATTGTGATTTATAGATTTTGTTATTTTGTTATTTTAATACTTATTAGTTGATTTCTGTAATTTGCCGCTGGTTTTATTCTGATGGATATGTATATGTTTTGTTTACTTGGACATTATTTTCCTGTCTGTATAGGTTTGCTTATACACAAGTTTGGTCTATATAATGGTTGATATGTTTTAAGTACTTACATTCTATCTTAGTCATCATGATGAAGAAGACCTTATACTTTGGGAGCAGTTTTATACAGCGTCTGGGGAGATATGTCGGAGACAGGGATGGAAGTGCGAGTTATCATGGACGGGGAGGCCCTAGACTTTGTCAGGTTACGGCAGAGATGCGTCGGCGTGTGATCCAGGAGAGGGCTGACGTCGTCATCATGCAGCTAGGGGCAAATGACATCGCACCTGATCGGCTCCCCGGGGATATTGTTGATGACATGGACAGACGGATCAGATAACACCATATTAATACGAAATCCCATCGTTCTAATTTAGTATCGTTGAGTACTATCATCCGATTTATATTTAAGTAAAATACACGTGTGCTTTTCACCGACATATTGTACAAAGTTTTAAACTGTGTAAGACAGAAAGCAGACTTTCATTTCAGATTTTGTCCTTGTTTATTAATACTGCGGTCGATTTTCATTTTATTTTTGTTACCTAACGAGTGAGAAACATGCTGCTGTTTCAAAGATTTTCTACAGAATAAATATAATGCTAACATGTAACAAAAGAGCAAAACTCAGAAGTGTAAATTAAAGATACGATAGATATCACGCTCCAGAGATTGTATACAGCATTTTATGGGTGATTTATATATCATGTTTACGTATCTCTCTTTTTTCCAAATTGTGATTATTCAATTAAATCCTGATAGCTAAACAATAGTGATGACTGTGACGAAAGCCAAGGCTTTGGCTATGGAAATGTATTGATCTGTTATCTTTCTTTTCCGGGAGTTTTTAAACGTGAATGTATATAGGA